TCGGCTCGGGTCATGATCTCAGGGTCCTGGGATAGAGCCCCACATCGGGCTCTCTGTTCGGCGGGGAGCCTGCTTCCCCCTCTCTCTCTGCCTGCCTCTCTGCCTACTTGTGGTCTTTCTCTCTCTCTCTCTCTATCAAACAAATAAATAAAATCTTAAAGAAAAAAACCAATTTACTGGACTATTTTAATTAGTATATAAATGATAACCATTTTCCACTGTCTCAGAAAACAACCCTGTGGCAGTTACATTATTTCTATCTCTTGCAACAAAGTTTCTGACAAAGAAGTGTGCCGCTGGAACGCAGCCTCTTTGTTAACAGAAGTATGATGCAAAAAATTCCTAACAAATCAATTTGTAGATGTTTCTTATAAAGGGTCTAATATCAGGGATCAACTTTAGGTGGATCTTCCCGAAAAACCTATGGCATAGGATGAAACTGAAGCAAAAAGATATGGGGGGAGTACAGAGTACCAACAGCAGCAGACGTCATTCAGTGGCACACCACCTTTTGTAACAGGATTTGACCTATCTGACTGGTATTCCCTCTGGCTAGGATTATTCTATTTTCTCAACTTTCCAAAAACTTTGATGATGTCTTCCCTGTATGGTACTTCAATACTTTCCCCACGCCTGCTTTCCCAACTTTGATATGTTAATTCCCCTATTTCTATTCCTTAACAGATCATTGATTGAAAGCAGGATATACATCCCCTACTATTTCATCCATGGATTATCCTTATCCTTCTTCCACCCTTATTAAGTGAACAATATTCAATACACCCTTTTCTTCTACTCGAGGTGTCAAAGTCTTCAAAATCTTTCCATTCTGTCATAAATCGAAAGAGAAAACAATGAATCTTTCAATTTGAGTAATAGATTTCCAATGATATTCAGTCTAGCACCCTCATATTTAAGACCATTTCTTATTTTTTTAAAATATTTTATTTATTTATTTGACAGAGGGAGAAAGATCACAAGTAGGCAGAAAGGCAGGCAGAGAGAGAGGGAAGCAGGCTCCCTGCTGAGCAGAGAGCCTGATGCGGGACTTGATCCCAGGACCCTGAGATCATGACCTGAGCTGAAGGCAGAGGCTTTAACCCACTGAGCCACCCAGGCGCCCCTCTTATTTTTATAAAATGTAGGAAGTATTCTCAATTTATGCATTTGGATAAGAGTCTTGTCAATCTGCTATTTCAAAAAAATGACACTTCTCAAAAAAAAAATTAAAAAGACACTTCTCTTCCAACAACAAATAAATGTTCAACATCTTATCTTGCCTAGAACATCACCTTCTTTCCCACACAGAAGACAGGTTTTCTTTCCTTTCATCTCTGTTCTATTCCTACAACTCAAGACTAATTCAGTCCACTTAATTTTGAATTCCCTCCCTGTATTCATCTTAGTGATGCTTTGTACTTCATAACCACTATCTCACTCTTCTGAAACTGCCATCTTACTCCCTGGTTTGCCACCACCCCACCAATTCAATTCCAAACACCCTAGTCCATTTCCTCCAGCAAATTCATTCAGCTGATACAAAGCTAATTTTCATCTACATAAGGAAAGATCTGTAGCTATGTAGTTTAAAAATTGCCCAGTCATGGTCTTATACCACTGAGAAAGGTAAACAACAAAACTCTCTCGAAAGTCAAGGTCACAAAGAATAATTGCTTTACCCCAACCACACTTGTTCAGCAATACCGAGCATCCTTCCCGAGTTGTCTAAAAACCAAAGGTTCAGTTTCCAACAAAGAAAAGAAAGTGAACATGATGCTTCCCTGAAGACATTCTCTAGCCTCCTCTCCACTGACTTTAAATAGAATGATTACCTGAAGAGGAAAAGGGAAATTTGGGCTGTTCCAAGTCCTTATTACTCCTTCCCCTCTAAGTCCCATACTACTATTAGCCCAAAGACTTGCTTTATTTACTTTAGAACAGACGTGCAAGACTGAGGAAAGACTGGCTCCCAGACATCCTTAAGAGACTCCAGGTCCTATGCCTGTTGAATTCTGCTTACTCAACTTTAGCTAGAAAATATAAGTTACTTAAACATGGTGTTCATTCTTATTCTTTTCTCCCTTCTTCAAAGAACTCAAATCATCTCAAGTGGTCTACCAGTGATTCCACAATATAAGGATACATCTTCCCTAACATGCTAATTTCACAAAATATAAAACAGATTAACACAGAAGCCTCTCAAAACCAGCCAATCTTCTCATTAAAATTATCACCACTCTCCCAGTTTGCTTTCATATCTTTCTATTCCACAACCTCATTTCCGGTCCTAACTGCCCATTATTATGTTATACAGATTCATCGATAATACCTATCCATGAACATGTGAATGCTCTTCTAAACAAAGCATCTCAGATTCTCTACTGTTCATGCATTTTAACTATAAACTACTGATCATGACTCAAAACCCTCTCAAATACGGGCACCTTACCTAATAGGCTTTCCTTGATCACCCTGTCTTTACAAAACAAGATATCCATATCTTGCTTTTTCCTCCTAATTCTTGTCACCACCTAACAAACTTACCTGTTCATTTGTTTACTGACTGCATAATTCTACCAAGAATGTCTTCCTATGTTTTCTCTTTTGTTCACCACTGTCTCCTCAGCATCTACAAGAGTGACTGGTATATATGTAACTCCCAGTACATATTTGTGGAAAGAATGGATGAACCCAGACATGTCACACAGTATGGCTGATACGGAGTTAGAAGACCTACAGCGCTTCCACATACCAGCTATATGGTCCTCAACAACTTTTTCTTCTTTGTGCTATACTTTCCTCATCTGTTAAAAAAAAGGGGGGGGGGTCAAACTTCATCTATAAAAAAGAATCCATATAAGTTTTTCCAGGTGCATCACCCTATATTCCTGTTTAACTAGACTAAAAACCTTCCCTGGTCCCCAACCTTCCTATCTTAATATCTCTGCTCAGTTTCCTTCCATTGGATTCCCCATTCTCAATCCACACGTGCCAAAATGTTGCTTATCCTTAAGGTCCATTTTGAGTGGCATTTTCTCCCTGAACCCTAACAAACTGTAAACTCAGTAAGAAGAGGGTAGAGTTCTTTTCTATTCTCACCACTGGGACGATGCCTCCCAAATACATGATCGACAAAATGACGAATGATGAGTGTATGAATGAGCAAATGAACAAAGGAAGCTTTTCCATATTTCCCCTAATTGCTCAGGTAACCTTCTGCCTTTGGACTCTTATTATACTTGGCATCTTTTTGATACTTGTCATAGTTTACTCTGTGCTATTATTAATTTACTTGCCTAATAAACTAAACAGCAAATTCCTTAAAATTAAGTACTATCCTAATGGTTCCCATAATCTTCCTTCTACAACATCTACTATAGAGCTTTCCCAGTTGTATTTATTAAGTTCATCTGACATGTTAAATAATAAAAGAATAATAGTGGAGAAAAAGGACTGTGATAGAAAGGTAACATTCCAACTACCCTACAGTCATGGAGCACATATGTTGTGTGGATCCTGTCACTATTAAACTCAGGCATTCAACCATAATTCAAAGATCTCATCACTCTCTCCTTTCCACACTCTGCTTAATGAAACTATTACTACTTTCGTAAACAGAATAACCACTCTCCTATATCACTTACTACCTACCTTCTCTTGTAATATGCATATAGAAAGCCAATCACCAATGCTTTCACTTCACTAAACAGATAAAGTGACTTTTCTGCTCATTTCAGACTTCCACCCCATGCAATTCCCTCCTCTACAAGGTATGAAACCATTTTTTTTTTTAAAGATCTTCCCATAAGCCTGCCTTAGTTCTGCTCCTGAAAAACAAAAAGGATCCGCTTTAAGGCCTTCCTTCCCCTTTTCTAAGAAGTAGTAACTCTCCAATTAATCTCAGGCTCCAACAACCTTTCATTTCTCTGCCATCAAGATTTTGACCCTCTTTTTCTACCTGCAAGCTCTTATTCTGCGTCCATGGAACCTTCCTGGCTGCACAATCGCTGGTGTCTTTCCATTCAATATGCTCATCATCGTATACCTGGTTCCAATGTATCTATGTTTCGCTTCCTAAAATGTTTATCAGTCTCTTCCTTTACACCAACCCAGACACACATCACATACTCGCACACGCTGTACCCATGCGTCACTCTACCTCCGACATACAAGTTCCTTACACCACTCTTAATGAATGCACACGACTCTCAGAATGGTATCTTCCAACTACACTAATTCTAACTCAGTTTCTTCTGGGGAACCCAACACCGTCCATAGTACCTCCCTCTTTCCTCACTTCCTCATCCATTCTCCCTCTTTAATCTCCCACCCCCACCCCGCCAACTAACTACAGAGGACATTATTCCTCAGCACTTTCAATCCGAGAATAGAGAACAAACTCGGGTTTCCAGCGGTCTCCCTCTCCTCTAGCCCTCCCTCCTCGACACCCCCCCCCACCAGGTGTGCAGACTTCCACCTCGTCCTCTCCCCATGCATCGCCCCAACCAATCCCACACCCTACACCGCACAATGTTACCCCCATCACCGGGATCAGACTCCACGCCCACCTCCACTCGGGGTCGCCGCCACCTTCTCCCCCCCCCCCCCCACAAGTCCCCCGCCAGCGAGCCTGCGACCCTGGGGGCGCGCGCGCACACACATTCTCACGCTTCCCTAACCTCCTTCCCGGCACCAGGACTAGCTGGCTACGCTGGAACTCAGCCCGGCAGGAGGGGGCTAGGCACCCGAGAGTGTGCCCGCCCCGCCCCCTCCCGCGGATCCCCTCGCAGCCCCCGCCTCCCCGCCGGGGAAGGAGAGGACACAGCAACTCCCCCGCCACCCCGACACACCACCTCTGTGGCTGTTGCTCCGCGCCCCAACCCTCGACCAGCTCCCCCCACGTACGGGGCCGACCTCTGCACTCACCGGAGATACTGCGCGCTCTGCAGGCTCATCCTCCGCCGCCGCGTCTTCCCGCGAAGCCTCTGTGGGTCTCTCAGGCTCCTCGAAGTGGCCCCGCGGCACCGCGGGTGCTGGCGGCCGCCGCCATCTTCCTCTCCTCCGGCTCCTCCTCGCTCGGCGGGGGGGTGGGGGTGAGTGAGGCGAGGGGGAGGGAGCGGGGAAAGCTGCTCTCGCTGCTGCTCTGGCCCGTGGGGCGCAGGGACACTCCGACCGGGAGGGGGGAGGGGGAGGGAGAAGGGAAGGGGGCGGGGGGAAAGAGGAGGGAGAAGCAGAGGAAGGAAGTGGGGGTCCCTCTCGCGAGATTTCAGTGGCGCCCGTCCCTCCCGGTGACTTTTGCCTCTCTGTAGCGCTCCCTTTTGGGATCGGCTAGCTGTGAGGCCCCTGCGCGGCTGCTGAGCGGCCTGCTGGAGGCGTTCGGCGGCTTCCGGCCAATCCACCCCTCTCCCGCGCGAGGGGGCAACCCCAGCCTCACCGGGAACATCGGGCCCAAATCAACCAGGAGTTACACTCAAAGTCTTCCCCCGTCTTTCCACTCCACCCGATTTCTCTCTTCCTTTTTCCTCTCCTCCACTTTTCCCTACCGGAAACGCTGCCCCTTCCTCCTACAGTTCCGCCCGCCAGTCCCTCAACTCTAGTCTTCCCTCGCGGCCCAGAGAGTGACGCTAAGGACCCCCTCCCCTTTTCTGGGGGCCCCACCTCCTGCACGCCTGGAGACTGTTGAAGGGGATGGGGTGGAGCCCGGGGAGGAAGAGAAAAGAAACCAATCGGATTGGATAAGCAGCTGCCATGGCAACTGGAGGCTGTGGTTGTATTGTCATAGTAACCACTGTGTGCGGACCGGGTGACCCTCCCTTGGCGAACGGATTCCCGGGAAAGTGCCCAGGGTTCCCCCTTGGCTTCCCTTCCGTCCGAAAGCCTCCCCCAAGTTGGGAATCCGGGTGATCTCCTGGGCGGTGAAGTTCATTTCCTCTTCCCTTTCCCCTTCCCGCAACAATGGGGGGACCCCGAGGCATTCACCGTGGGCTTTTCCACCCGCCTGCGGGCGGGAACCACCTCCAGTTTCCTCTCAGTGCGGGGCGTGAAGAGGGGCGGGCCTTGGAGGAAGACGCCGGGCCTGAAGGCCCTCGAGCTGCGGACCGAGCGTGGAGGGCTCGGCGGTGGGGCAAGGCCGCGGCGCAAAGCTGCGAGGCGGGCGAAGGGTTTCCCCAGGACTGCCTCGGGCTCGAAGAGGCGGGATCCCGCCAGGACGGGGTCCCTGAGGGAGGAGAACGGCACACGACGACCCAGATTCCTCTCTTGCCGGGAGAGACCTCAGACTTTCGCCGGCGGTTCGACCCCTGAACTGCCGCCCACTCGCCCTCGGCGATCGAGCCACCTCCTTGCTGCGGGGAGGCCGCCGTTGTGAGTGTGGGAACACGTCCTAGCACACTTGACAAGGTTTTCCAGCATTTAGAGCCAGGGACGTGGTGAAATGCCCACGACTGCCGTCCCTCTCAGAGGCACTCCGCAGTGGGGGTCCCACTGGGTTACCCGAGGCAGACCTCCCGGTTCCTCCCTCTGCAGACTTCTCTGATGGGTCCGCAGCGTTTCAGAACTTGTCACTCTGTATCTTCTGGGTCCGAGAGAAAAACGTTGGGTAAAATAGTATCAACGAGAACCTAGAGGCTGACGGGAGCTTCCGATGAAAGACATTGAGGAAAAGGATTTTCATTCTTCGAACAAATCTTTTTGAAAGCATTAGGTGTACTTTGTGTCAGGTTTGGGGCTAAAAAGCAGAAATAAAGAATGGGGTCAATAATACTATGGAGTGTGAGAAGTACTGGTCATTCGCATGGTTTAAAGGACTTATTTGACAGTTTACAAATCCTATTTCCGATTTGTGTTGTGGGGGCCTTTCATATAACAGTACCCAAGCACTTCAGGATGTATAACCATATAACCCCCACCAGACCCCCAGAACGCAGCCCTCACTAGATAGTTAAAATCAGCATTTTAATGGGCTGTTCTGGTTTGGCTGGGTTTGGGTAACTGCTTCCTGCGGTCTTCCATGCTAGAAAGAGGCACTTTCCAGATCCTTCCGTGAGACCACACCTATTACAAGACTAGAACAATGTCTCTTTGGGACCTCACATATATAGGTTTGGAGGAAAACGAAAGGACAGGCTACTCTGAAATAAATCCCAAGAAGATTATCATTAATGACACAGAACCTGAACTATGCCCTGCTCCTCCTGCTGCTATAGCCTACTGTGATGTGGTGTGAAGCGTGGTGATTGCAGCTGTACAATGCCCCCTGTCATCCCTCCCTGCACCGACGCGCCACCCACTCACGGAAAAGAGAGCCACCTAGCGAAAGATTGTTCTCATCTCTGGTGTGGATACTTCTTTTCCTTCAACTCTAGAGCCCAAGGATGGAGATTACTGCCACATAGTACCTAAAATACCCTGAATCTCTTTCTTGAAATGTATTAGATCTTTAAAAAACATTTTAGCCGGAATAAAAATTTTATGTTAGGTTAAAAAAAAAATTACTCCCTTAGTAATCATCACAATAACACCTTTTATGTCTGTGGCTTACAACTCCAATAAACAGCATTGGAGCAAATGTCATGACACTCCTGGCAAGGGATCTAGGAGAATTTACTATCTTCTCATTTAGGAAATGAAGAAACTGGGATCAGAAATATGAATCCTTTTGTTGTTTCTTTCTATAAACATTTACTAAACATTGTATTTCAGGCACTGTCCAGGTTACTATGGATACCATGGTGAAGAAGACATGGTCCCTGTCTTGGAGAAACCCACTTTCTGGTAGAGATAGAAGAGAGCAGAGAAGTGATAAGAATGCTGTATGGTGGGTGCAGTAATTAAGGTAAGAACAAAGTACTTTAGGTACACAAAAATACAAATAATCTTTCTATTTTATAGCAGTCTTCCCTAAGAATTGTATAGAATTTGTCAATAGTTTCATAGTGTCCCTACAAACTAGGTAGAATAGTAACATCAATGCCAATCCTGAAAATAACTTTTGGAAAATCAATAAAACTCAGAATACCCAGAATTTACATATTGCTTAATGTACATTTAATTCTCACCTCTTTCTACTGCCTCCCCATCAAAAGACTTGTAGAATACAAGCATCCTTATGCAATAGCTTTTATTCACTTTTTCCCCCAGCAGATATAAATTACATCTAAACGAAAAAAAAAAAAAAATAAAGAGAAACTCTTACTTTGTCTGATCCTACCTGATTTTAAGGGTTTTTTTGTTTGTGGCTAAGTGATTTTGTGGAAAGATTATAAGCCAGCAGACCTGAGTGTGCATTCCAGCTCTGCCCTCCCAGTCTGTAATCTTCAGTTTCTTCCTTGACCAATATGGAAACATTACCTTTTACAGGCTTCCTGTGAACTTTAATGATGCTGTATGTGACTAAGTATAACTGACATATAACACTGGTACTTGATAAGTGTTTATTTTCCTTTTGCCCTCTTACTCTTTAAATCAAGTTAAAAGGAATAGAACTACTGCAGCTTAAAATTGTTGTTTTAAAATGGTAGCTTATCTATTCTTTGTAGTACTCATAGGTCTGACCACACACCCAAATCTATTCTTATTCAGTGCTAGAAAATAGATTTCCTTATCCATGACTTTGACCACAGAAAAGAATACAATACCAGGGGGCACCTGGGTGGCTCAGTCAGTTAAGCATCTGCCTTCGGTTCAGGTCATGGTCCTGGGGTCCTAGGATCAAACCCCATATAGGGAGCCTGCTTCTCCCTCTCCCTCTGCCACTACCCCTGCTTGTGCACTCACATGCACTTTCTCTCTCTTTCTCAAATAAATAAAATCTTTAACAAAAACAACAACAAAAAGAATACAATATCAGGACATTGTAGGTCAGATTCTGGAGGGTTGCAACTTTTAAATAACTTTTTATCACTAAAAATAGCCTAATATGGGGCACCTAGATGGCTTAGTTGGTTAGGTGTCTGCCTTTGGCTCAGGTCGTGATCCCAGAGTCCTGGGATTGAGCCCATCATTGGGCTCTCTGCTCCCCAGGAAGCCTGCTTCTCCCTCTCCCACTCCCCCTGCTTGTGCTCCCTCTCTCTCTCTCATTCTGTCAAATAAATAAAATCTAAAAAAAAAAAAAAAAAAAAAAGCCTTATATAACTGCATTTTGGCCCAAGTAAACAAAGTATCCAGCTTTCAACCACACAACAAGTACTTGCTGAGAGGCTCCTCTTAACATTCCTACCAAATTTACCCAGTGCTTTGGTAACCTGATAATTAATACATAGGAAGCCTCCTCCCTTTTTTATAATAACAGACATCTCACCTGACCCATGAAACCATAACAAGCACTAATTAATTTTAATATTCAGCCTATATATTCTGAATGTTTCCAAATCAGGCACACAATTGGAAACTTAATACATGTGTTTCTATTTTGATGAGTAGAGTGATTTATCAACTGCAGTATTCAAGTATACAATGTATGTGAAGCCAGTTGGTGCTGTCTTCAGTACCACACCTCAGGTCATGGAGCCGAATGATTTAACCAAAAGAATGATTCATTCTCTTCAAATAGTGAGTCAGATACAAATTGACATTTAAATTCAGGTCTCCTATTGCTCAAGATTTCTTAGGCCAAGGGTCAGCAGCCTTTCTCAGTTTGCCAAGTATATATTCATTCACTCCTGGGCAGGAGTCGTAGAGCCTGAAGAACAGTCAGGAAGTCTTATAGCCCAAGATCCTAGAGAAGAAACTTGTGGTTTGGAAGGCAGTGAGGCAGAGAATGGTGGTCAGAGCTCATTCTCCTTCTCCATTCTCCTAATATTTACTAAGGGAAACTTTTTTTTTTATTTGACAGAGAGAGAGAGAGATCACAAGTAGGCAGAGGCAGGCAGAGGTGGTGGGGGCGGTGGGGGGGGGGATCAGGCTCCCCGCTGAGCAGAGAGCCCGATGCAGGGCTCGATCCCAGGACCCTGAGATCATGACCTGAGCCGAAGGCAGAGGGTTAACCCTCTGAGCCACCCAGGCACTCTAAGGGAAACCTTATTAATCTTCAAGAATTTCTCCCAATTCCCAATTAGAAAATACCTTTGGGAAAGAACCACACCTTAAAATCTTATCTGCTAATTTAATGGACACAGACCATCTGGAGAAAACAAGAAATGCTCATAGAGAAAATTGAAGAGTATTAAAAAAAAAAAAAGGAAAATTAAAACCTTAGCCTCTTAACACTCTATATTGTCCAAGGGCCTTAGTGTTCATGGATATCTTTACTACTCAAAGGACAATACTTCTGACGCCATCTTGGTGTCCCTGGTATGAAATCAATATGTTTCATATCAAAATCTGTTGTATTACCCAGAAGCTGCCATTTTTTTCTTAGAACACCCAACTAAAAGAAAAAAATATTTTAATATTTTATAGTCTACACTTTCCTAATTTATATAGGGTAGGCTATTTTTGAGAACAGAGAATGTGATACAATATTGTCATTTGCTCTTCTTCAAAACCCTGGGAAACCACATGTGCGCATACACACACACACACACACACGCACGCACACACTTTCTTCCTCTTCCTGTCTTTAGTATTTTACCACCTCTATTTGCAATTCAAATTAAGATATGATATAGATGTAAAGCAAAGGAACTCAGGATGTAAGTTCATCACTTCAAGACATAGGGATAGGGGCACCTTCGGCTCAGGTCATGATCCCAGGGTCCTGGGATCGAGCCCTGCATCAGGCTCTCTGCTCAGCAGGGAGCCTGCTTCCCTTCCTCTCTCTGCCTGCCTCTCTGCCTACTTGTGGTCTCTGTCTGTCAAATAAATAAATAAAATCTTAAAAAAAAAAAAAAGATATACTAAGGATATATACCCACCCAAGGGCTGTTCTGCTTTGCTTAACTATTCGAGGGTCTTTTCCATTCTTAGAAAAATTCTACGTATCAGAAATCTATTAAGTTTGTCCTGTAGTAATAAAAAAAAAATTCTTAATATCATTGGATTACTAGATATGAGAGCACATTCCAGAACAAATTAAACAGTAAGTTAATATATTTTTAAATTCTACATTTTAGTCATATTAAGCTTTTTAAGAACTTTTATTTCCTGGCTTAAATTCTCCATTGGTTTTTCATTACCCTTAGAATAAAGTTTCCATATATGATCTGGTCCTTGCCTGCCTCTTCTCTAACGTTTCCTGGCAACACCACTCTTGCCACACTTACCTCCTCTTAGGTTCTTCAGTAGGTAGCCTTCCTTTCTACGCAGACTTGACACAAGCTGTTACCTTATTTCTCCTGGATCACTCTTCTCCCTTATGCTTCAAGCTTAAATTTCATCTTCTTTGGAGAAATCATCTCTACCCACCCCCAAACCCAATCAGGCTAGATTAGCTATATCTATTACATATTCCCCTGGTACTCTTCCCTTCTTCATGACATTTGTCATATTTCTTTTTGTTCAATGTTACCTCCAATTGGCTGTAAACTCTGTAAGGGCAGACACAGGGACGGCTTTGCTCACTCCCCTATTAGGGTACCTGATACAGGGGGGGCTCAATAAATGTTTGTTGAATCAGTTAATCTTGGGTAAAAAATAGAAACAAAAAAATAGAAAAATAGAAATTTGGACCATGACTTATGTTCCTGACTACGGAACATAAAAGTAATCCCTAAGCAATAAGAAAAGAACTTCAACCCATCTGCGGAATTGAAATCCGCTATGATATTTAACAAGATGAAGGTGTTAATTAAATGAAATTTACTTGGGCAATGAGTAAAGAGCACACTTATATGATTATGGAAAACTCATCAATTATCTCAGCCACTCATACTTCAACATAGGAGAAAAGTCTTCAATATCCAAATCATTTTTATTTAACTTTTATGTTTTCTGATTTGAGAATGGGGAAAACAGCCAACCCTTTCATTGTGAGACAAAATAAAAAAAAACACTGCTGGATGGCAGGAGAGAGAAGAAGCTATTAACCAATTGGTAAATAGGATAGAAAAATTAGATCTAAAAATTCAGAAAGAAAATGGAATTGGAGTATAGAATGGAAAACTCAGTGATCTTTGTGTCTCTCACCAGAAAAGTATCTATAGATTTTGGGCATTACTGTTTTGTTTTGGTTTGGTTTTCCTCCTGTGATGGGATAGGGCTAAATAAATCAAATGTAAGTTTGTTATGGAAAGGGCCACACACAATTTCACAGTAAATGGTACATTTAAATTGTTTCTGGAGGCAGAGTCTCCAAGTTCAGTTAGATAGTGTATGTATCCTACCTAGCAGTCCCGGACGCCTTGTAGGCACTCAGCAGGTGGTGCTGCTGTTACTCATTCACTCAACTTCATACTCTAATTAATGTGGGTTAGACTCATTTAAAAAAAAAAAAAAAAGTAAAATCACATTTGTAGAGAGAAACGAACTAGCACACTGCCTCGAAATCATATGACCAGTTGTATCATGTGACCAAGTATATATTGCCAACAGGGAAAACAGCTTTCATCTACTTACAGAGGATGTCTCAGCTCATTAGCAGTTTTATGTTGGAATGAGATGAGATCCAAGACCTGCCAAAGCTGAAGAGGATAAGGAGGCTAATAAGGAGCAAAACCAACTGCTTATGCTTTCCCCTGCCCTCTTTCAAATGGACATCTTTGGAAAGGCTCTCTGGCTCACTCACTCTCTCAACCATTGACTGTAAGCTTTCTGTTATACACCTCCCCTTCCCCAAGAGATCCAGTCCTTTGTCCAAGAGGACATGCATTGTTTTCATGTTTTAACAATGTTCCTGTGGTGGAATCAGGCCTATAGTGCAGCCAAATATTAGAATGCAATATTTCTAAAATGTAAGCA